AACTAGAATAAAAGACAAACACTTGGAACTGGTTCTTCTATCTAGTTCATGTAGCTTCAGGTTTGCACATTTGAATTACACACGAATTGCTTGCAAAATGCCTTGCTATTTTGCTCTCAATTCACGTTTAACTTCTTCTTTTGTGCATGCCTGTAGAATGAGAACATCCTGCGATTTATAGAGTTAGTAGAGTAGAAAATAACTAGAGTTCTAATGCTACTCTTCCTTGGTAGAAGAGTTCTAGTTGATCTCAACTTCTAAGTCTTCCCTTATCTTGGATAGTGTTCTCTTTGATTAAGGAGTCCTTCTCTTTATCAATTATGCAACTTTTTCGATCAGGAGATATCAATTATACCACGTTAAGCTTATCTCCTTCACGTGCATCCCACATGCTCGAATCTGCCCGTATCTATGCACACAAGGGGTGGACCTGGTTTATGCCTGAGCTTCCTTTGTCAATCTTCAACACTAACCTTCACTTAGGCCAACAAGATGGATACAATCTTATTGAAAAATCTCTACGGATAATGATACTAGCAGGAGATGAATTTGACTAACCCTTCACCTTCACATTGTGGCATTTGAATCAGCTTCGGTAAGAAATAGTGAGCTTGAATTTAATGCTTTCTGGAGTTTGTTTCTCTTTTCTCTTGCGTTCTATTTCTTTTGCAGAATCACCTGCTTTGCTTGTGTTTTCTAGCACCATCTCTTGAAGGTATTCTAAATCGGCCAGCTCCGGTGGCACCATTGCAAGATTAAGACATGAGACATAAACAAGGTTCCTAAGCCTCGGGAAGGAACAATTTGATGCCTCCATGATACGAGTTCTGCCCTTTCAATCCACAAGACTTGAAGTTTCCTAAAACCACCTACATCCATCTTCTAAGAATTCCCGGTGAATGCATTTTCTTCCAACTTTAGGACCTCTAGACATTCCAGCTGCCCCAACCTATTCAGCTCATTCCACTCAAATCTTGTTTTTGATAGAGTTAACTTCTTCAGTTTGGGTAGATATACAAAGAATGCTAAAGGAAGGTGAAGAGCTTTATTCGTATCATCATTCAGTAGTGTCAAACTTTCCAGACACTCTAGCACTCGAAAATTACTGAATTCACCCTTGCTAGTTTCAAGAAAAGTTGCCATATTCCCTTTAATACTCAAATTTTTTGAGATTACTAGCCTTTGCAAGAACATCTTCCCTGGTTGTAACTTTCTGGTGCAACCAGAGAAAGAGTTTGCAGACAAAAACTTGTAGAGGTAGTAGGGGCGGCAAATTTGCAGGTTTGTTGGTGCGCAGATGGCGCAACTGTGACATGTTCTATATGTTAGCTTTTATATCAAGGGTGGGCTTTGATGTATTAAGCATAAGAGTTTGTAAATTTCAGAAGTAACTAAAGAGTTTAGGAAGTTCCTTGAAATCACCTGAGATAGCAATATACCTCAAGTGTAATAGCTGGTAAAATTCCATAGGAATACTAAATTTGAGGGATTCAATATCCAAGATCCTGATAAGGGGAAATGCTTTAGGGATGAGTTGGACATCGATATTTGAAAGGTCAATTTGTTTATAATTTGAGGAAAAATATAAGAAAGATCTAACATGGTTTTCAGTTGTAGTTTTGGAGATAAAATTTGTCGGAACAGATGATTGAATAGACAATCGACGCGAAGTATTTGAGTTTTGTATAGAAGGACTATCTTGACCATTTGTGAGACATACTTGTTGGATAAGACTAAGTCTAGTAGCCTGCATAATGCATAACTCATGTAACATGTCACGAACATGACATGTTTTTATTTGACCGCTAGACCTCTTCGCAATTACCATCATTAAATTTCTATTTGCAAAGTCATTCAAATAACACACTGCTATCTCCTTAATTTCGCTACCTGGCAAGTTAGAAATAATGAGCCCCTCAGCAATCCACAGGAGGATCAATTTCCAAGCAGGGATATCAAAGCCTCGAGGAAAGGCACCAAAATACAAGAAGCAAGACTTTCTATCTTGAGGCAAATGATTTTAACTCAGTCCCACAATCTTCAGACATCTCTTATTAGTATCTCCCAACATTTTCCTTGACTACGCTCCAATCAACCTCTTAAAGCTCCTGCAATAACCACAATTGTAAGTGCATGGTACTACACTATATTTTTCTACAATGCCTTCTCTATGTTCTACTAACTCAACAGGACAATGGCTATCGCCAAAACCTCTATTTTCCAACAGGTGGAAACTTTCCTTCTGATCTCGAAATTTCAGATAGTGAGGATCAACATTTACCGATCTATCCACATCCCACATGTACGTGTCAAGTGGTCATCATGTCTTGTTTTCTGGGAAAGCTGTCCTAACAAAATCTACAACATTTGTCTCCCACACAGACATTTACCTCCGTTAGCCACACGATAACATATTTCCTCAGCTATCTCTGTCTCATTTTTATCTTGGAACTCTTCAATGCATTTCGTGAACCCTTTCAAAATACTAATAAAGATGTCCCCTTTTATATATGACTGTCCGACGAAAACCCAAATGCAACTAAAAAACTCATATGGAATCTTAGGATCATTATAGATTTTTCTTGCAAGTGTGGTTTTACAATGTCCAGGCATAGAATTGGCCATGACTATATAAGGAGTCAAATCACCCTTCCACAGCCAATGAGGAACTCAACAAAAAAGTAAACGAATAATGGGATTGTATATGGTCGAAATAGATTTCGGCCTTCGTACGTTTGATCGAGTTCGAATGGTAAGCGACCGAAGTGAGACTTCGAGACGAGTTTCGAAGATAGTACAAACAAGCTTTGAGCTCCAAGAACGATCGAGAAATTGGCTCGGTATCATTATTGAGCCCATGACCAAATCGAACCGCAAGGCAACGTGAAGGTTGTCGGAGACGCACAGACCGATTGACACTCACCCCGAATGTCAAACTCGAACCAAGGCCGAGGGTTCGACCCAATACCGAGCTCAAGCCAATATCGAGCTCGCAGATAAGAGCCGTTGCAACTACACTAGGGCAGAGAATCTTGGCGGGAATCGAGGAAGAGACAATTCATCATGTGTTCTCCACTATATATTTTTTATTATAAATAAAGTAAGACCCCTTTACTATAAAAGGGGGAATCCTTGTAAGCACAGGGCATGTTCACACATTGTAAGAAAAGACTACTTCTCTTATTGAAGAATAAATCTCTTGAGCTTGTCTTACTCAGCATACTCACTCTTCTTGTTCAATAGTTTATCTCCCATTTTTATAGCCAAGAATCTAAACATTTCCACTTCTACGTACGATTTATGTCAAGCTATATCACATATCCTTAGAACTACTTATAAATTTAACTATATACGATTTTTTGGGTAAATAGTTTGGCGCCCACCGTGGGGCTAAGGGTAACAGTGGTTGTTTGATACAAATCTGCAATTCACACCAGTTTACAACTTTGAATCAGCAATGGCCAACCCTCGATTGATGGCTTTACCTATCGACCACGAAGCCGGCCTTCAAGATGAAACCAACAAATTGATACCCAGGGCCGGAAGGCCACTTAACGATGTCACTGAAGCTTGAGTCGAAGTACCTGAAATCCGAGTTGAAGTACCGCTAGATGTCAATTCACAGGTGGCTCTTGAGGCGAACCAACGTTCCGAACCGGAAAAAAGCATTCAGGGCGGTACTCGATCTGTAGCTCGAGACACCCATAACGTGGAGGAGATCGGATTCAGCTTACGGATGATCTTCGAGATGTTACAAGCCCAGCAAATAGCGATAGCTCAGTTGCATAGCCAAACTGAGGAACAAAGCAGGCCGGAGCCCAATCCGCTTCGAGAAATCACCCACAGAATGGAGCCAGCCATAGTGAAGTCAAAACGAGGAATTACTAAATTTCTCGAGGAACTCACAAAACGAGTCGAAGCCAACGATAAAAAAGTAGAAACATATAATTTCAGGGTCGATCAGATCCCGAGAGCTCCACCAATGATAAAAGGGTTGGATTCGAAAACATTCATACAAAAGCCGTTTCCCCCGAGTGCAGCCCCTAAACCAATCCCCAAAAAATTCCGTATGCCCGAAATTCCCAAATATAATGGTACGACCGATCCTAACGAACATGTCACCTCTTACACGTGTGCCATCAAGGGTAACGATTTGGAAGACGATGAGATTGAATCCGTGTTATTGAAAAAATTCGGAGAAACCCTCTCGAAGGGAGCGATGATTTGGTATCAAAATCTGCCGCCAAATTCCATCGATTCTTTTGCCATGTTAGCGGATTCATTTGTAAAGGCACATGCTGGTTCCATAAAGGTTACAACAAGGAAATTAGACCTCTTCAACGTAAAACAAAAGGGTAATGAAATGCTGAGGGAATTCGTGTCCCGATTTCAAATGGAACGCATAGAATTACCACCGATCACAGACGACTGGGCCGTCCAAACTTTCACCCAAGTGTTGAACGAGCAAAGTTCAATAGCATCATATCGGCTGAAGCAAAATTTGATTGAGTATCCAGCAATAACTTAGGCGGATGTACACAACCGATATCAGTCAAAAATTATGGTCGAAGACGACTAGTTTGGAGCTCCTTCTAGATCCATGCATCAGAACAGGACATCTATTAAAAACCAGAGGGACATCGACCGAGAGAAAAGTCCAAATAGAGACCGATATCAACCGTACGTCGCATATCGAATGAATAATGGTTCAATGCGCAATGCCACTCGGAACAATCGAAGGAGTGATCGAGGACAAAATTCTTAGGGGCTTATGAGCAAGAGTGGCTTTGTTAAATATGCCGATCCTATAGAGGCACCTTGGCTATCGGAGTACAATTTCAGCGTCGACGCATCGGGCATTGTATCGGCGATCGGAAGAATCAAAGATACTAGGTGGCCCAGACCAATGCAAACCGACCCTTCCCAAAGGAACCCGAATTCGATGTGCAAGTATCATGGTACGCATGGCCACAGGACTGAGGATTGCAGATAATTAAGAGAAGAGGTAGCCCGTGTATTCAATGAGGGCCACCTTCGAGAGTTTCTCAGTGACCGAGCCAAGAATCACTTCAGAGAAAGGGACGCCAACAAAAAAGATAAACAAGAGGAACCTCTGCATATCATTCATATGATCATCGGTAGGGTCAATACTCCACAGGGACCCGTGTTCAAATACAACAAGATATCGGCCATAAGGGAAAAATGAACTCGAGGCTATGTACCCGAGGGCACTTTATCATTATGAATTGAAGAAGCCGAAGGCATCTCTCAACCTCACAACGACGCTATGGTAATTTCTATCCTATTAAATAAAGTTCAAGTTAAGCGTGTCTTAGTGGATCCAGGTAGCTCTACGAATCATACGATCTTGGGTAGTGGAGAAGCTCGGTTTACAAAATCAAGTCGTGCCTGCAGCTCGGGTCTTAAACGGCTTCAATATGGCCAGTGAAACAACTAAAGGGGAAATTATTCTGCCCGTAAATGTGGCTGGAACCATCCAAAACACCAAGTTCCACGTAATCGAAGGCGATATGAGGTACAATGCCCTACTCGGAAGACCATAGATCCACAATATGAGGGCAGTGCCTTCGACTCTACACCAAGTGATGAAATTCCCTACGTCGGACGGCGTGAAGACAGTATACGGGGAGCAACATGCTACGAAGGAAATGTTTGCGGTCGGTGAGATAACACCGATACCAACGTTATTGGCCTCAGAAAGGTCGAGCACAAAAGATAGGCAAGAAACCAAATATCAATCACAACAACCAGTCTTGGCCGAATCGATGAAGCAGGAAATAGAAGATGACGAGGAAGAGTTTACGACACCTCGAGATCTCATCGTCCCTGATGACTCCGACACCACCAAGTCAACGATCGAAGAACTGGAGCCGGTTATATTAATCGAACGTCTGCCCGAGAGTAAGGTATACCTGGGAATGGGGTTGACCCCCGAACTCAGGAAAAAACTTATTCAATTTCTTAGTGATAACATAGATTATTTTGCTTGGTCCCATTTAGACATGACATGGATCCCCCCATCGATAACAACACACCAGCTGAGTTTGGACCCTAGGTTCAAACCGGTGAAGCAAAAAAGAAGACCTCAATTCGAGGTAAAACACGCATTTGTAAGAGATGAGGTAACTAACCTTCTCAAAATAGGGTCACTTCGGGAAGTAAAATATCCCGAATGGTTAGCCAATGTGGTTGTAGTCCCCAAAAAAGGGAACAAACTTAGAATGTGTGTAGATTATAAAGATATAAACAAAGCATGCCCCAAAGATTCTTTTCCACTGCCTACCATCGATCGCTTGATCGATGCCACAGCCGTCCACGAGATCCTCACTTTTCTCGACGCCTATTCCGGGTACAATCAAATTAGCATGAACCCGGAGGACCAAGAAAAAACTTCATTTGTCACTTAGTATGGAACCTATTGCTATAATGTAATGCCATTCGGGCTAAAAAACGCAGGGGCTACGTACCAACGCCTAGTGAATAAAATGTTCGAAGAACAAATAGGTAAATCGATGGAAGTTTACATTGATGACATACTAGTTAAGTCCCTACGCATAGAGGACCATTTGACTCATTTGCAGGAAACATTCAAAGTTTTAAGGAAATACAACATGAAGCTCAACCCAGAGAAATGTGATTTTGGGGTTGGATCGGGCAAGTTCCTCGGGTTCATGGTGTCAGATCGGGGGATCGAGATCAATCCTGACAAAATCAAAGCCATCGAAAACATCACCGTCGTGGATAGTGTGAAAGTAGTGCAAAGGCTAACCGAACGAATAGCTACCTTAGGCCGATTCATTTCAAGATCGTCAGATCGAAGCCACAAATTCTTCTCTCTACTCAAAAAAGAAGAACGATTTCACCTGGACCCCAGAATGGCAACAGGCTCTAGAACAACTGAAGCGGTACCTATCGAGCCCACCATTACTTCACACTCCGAAGACAAATGAGAAGCTTTACTTGTACTTAGCGGTATCGGAAATCACAGTAAGTGGTGTCCTAGTTCGAGAAGAGCAAGGTACGCAGTTTCCTGTTTATTATGTAAGTCGGACCTTAGGAGAGGCAGAGACTAGATACCCACACTTAGAGAAATTGGCGCTTGCATTGATAAACTCCTCTACAAAGTTAAGACCATACTTTTATTGTCACCCCGTATGCGTTTTAGCAACTTGTCCACTTCGAAACATTTTCCACAAGCCCGAACTATCGGGCCGACTGGCCAAATGGGTCGTCGAACTCAGTGGGTACGATATTGAAAATCAGCTTCGAACGGCCATCAAGTCCCAAATTTTAGCAGACTTCGTGGCTGATTTCACACCAACCCTCTCACCCGAAGTTGGATAGGAACTCTTGTTAAAATTAGGTACATCGTCGGGGGTTTGGACCCTCTTCACAGATGGTGCTTCAAATGTGAAGGGATCCAGGCTTGGCATCGTATTAAAACCTCCCACATGTGGCATTATTAGGCAATCCATCAAAACTACTAGATTAACTAACAATGAGGCTGAGTACGAGGCCATGATTGCAGATCTCGAGCTAGCTAAGAGCTTGGGAACAGAAGTCATTGAAGCCAAATGTGACTCTTTGCTAGTGGTGAACCAAGT